CACCCACTTCCTACCACCTCCTTGTCTGATTCTTTCTGATCCTTGAGGTCTACGCTGCAGTAGCCAGGACTCAATTGCAGAGCTGCTTCTCTTCTCTTTCTCTTGGGTGATCTCAGCCACCTCACACCATCTGTCTGCACACGCACGGCACCTCCTGCCAACCTCTCGAGGGCTCTCCTGCTGCCTCCAGGACAACTCCTGGACGTCTCCTGGAAAGTCCATACTGGACCAGCATCCAGTCTAGACTCCCAACCTTTCTTACACCCACCTCCCAAAGGAGGCAATGCTGCTCCCATTTGCACAGGCTCAGATGTTTGATCTTGCTATCCATTCACCCCACGTCCAACTCCTTAGTAAATTCTGTTGGTTCTACTTTGAAACCATCTCAGAATCCTGACCCTCCGCCCCTTCATCCTGGTCCATACTGCTGCCCCATCTCTCAGTGGCCTCCTAACTAGTTTCTTTGGTTCTGTTCAATACTCAGAATAATGCTCTAAAAATCAGGTCAGATTTAATCTTCAAACCTCCTAATGTCCCATAAGGGCCTGTGTCATCTGGCTCTGACCTCATCTGCCACCCTCTCCCTGCTTACTCATTTCTGCCACACTGGCTGGCTTCCTTCTTTCTCCTCAGTATGGCAGACACAGCTTCCCTAGAGCTTGGGCAGCCACTGTTAGCTCTGTCTGGAATGTTCTCTTGGAGCTTACACATTCTCTGCTGAGATGTCTCTGGCAAATCCATTCCTTGGTGCTTCCTGTCCCCTTCTCCATTTTATGTTCCTCCTAGCACTTATGACCACATGATACACTACTTATTTCATTGGTGTCTGTGTTCCTGGCACACAGTAGGCTCTCATGGACTTGAGTGAACATGTAATCCCCTGTGGCAGGTACCTTACTTTAGGTGACTCACTCTTTCCTTCTCTTTCTTTCTTCTCTCTCTTTCTCGTTCCTTCCTTCCTTTTTTTTTAAGCTGGTTGTGGTCTAGAACTCTGAGTCTGGGCACTGTCCCTGGGTTTCTTTTGCTCAAGGCTAGCGCTTTACCACTTCAGCTACAGTGCCACTTCTGGCTTTTTCTGTGATTAACTGGAGGTAAGAGTCTCAGACTTTCTTGCCCGGGCTGGCTTTGAACCACAATCCTCAGATCTCAGCCTCCTGAATAGCTAGGACTACAGGTGTGAACCACAGTCGCCCAACATATTTTCATTTCTGAGGTGAATTAGATGAGGCTTGGAGACAGTGAGCTACATTTCCCAAAGCTACATGATTATTAAGTGAAAAAGCTAAGGTTTGAATCCAGAGCTCATATTGGCAAAGCTATGCTGGCCTTTCCTTACTTGGAAGATCTCAGAGACAGTACCAACTCCATATGAGAGTGAACTATGATGCATGTGAAACTTGTGTTTCAAATGCTTCTGTGTTACCCTGTCCTTGAGGATATTCTGAGATTTATAGAACTGGAGGGAAAGTGGTTGCAGCTCTTGGAAAGTATCCTGCTGGGTTAGATGCCTGTAGAGACAGCTAGGCTGATGTGCTGAGGCCTGAAAACGCACAGTGGCAGAAGTAGGGTACTGACAGGTATAATCATGCAGTGCTTTTCTAAGGAATGCTCAGCCTGTCCTCCTTATTGTCAATCACTTTTCTCGGGGATGGCTGAGGAGACAAGATTCTGCACATTCTCTCTGTTGGGCTTAGTCACAAATACCCAGCAAATCCTCACTGCCCTAGCTAATGCCACAGGCTACACTTTAGCTTACTAGTTTTGTTATCTCAACAAAACTCTACCACTCTTTCTAACTTAACTTTGACCCCTTTTTCAGGTTGCTGGTTATACAAGCATACAGACTATCAAATACAAGTTCATATTACTAGTCAGCATTATAGAAAATGCAATATGCATGTCACTAACCGCTCCCACACTGACATTCAGTCATGTATGGATGTGCATTCTGCCTTAACCTTTTTATCTTCACTGCCCCCTCCCCCTTTTTAATGCCTCTGAGCAGGAAATATTCCTTTTGCATGTGGAGCTGCACCGCCATCCCAACGCCTCCTGACTCCTCTTTCTCCTGACCTGCTGAAGATTCTGGCTCCATCGTGAACCTCTCTTGTCACTTTTATTTCTTCCCATCTATAAACATCATGCACTTACCCTCTGAAACAGATTACTCTTCTATGTCCTGTCTATCCATCTACCCACCTCCCCACCTAGCTCTCTCATGGTAGGGACAGAACCCCAGAACCCAGGGTCTTGAACATGCTAGGCAAGTATTCCATTACTGACATGTATTCTAGGCCCAAATTCTTTCCTTTTGGTATCATTTGAACACTCAAAAGGAGGAGTACTAGTGAGCTCAAGCACTTCCATGGCCTCTGTGGCCTCTCAAGCATTCACTTAGCCTCTGGCCTGCTAGTGATCAAACCCAAGACCCATTGTTCAGTCCCTATCCCTTTGCCCTGGCTTGCAGTCAAATTTGACAAAGCTTTACATCCTTAAGAAACAAAGCTATGTTGTCTTTTTTTAAGATGGGAACTGGGGCTATAGCTCAGTGGTAGAGTACTTGCCTGGCATGTATGAAATCCTGGGTTTGATCACCATTACCACAAAGACGAGAAAACCACACCCCAACATCTATACAAAAGAACATAAACGGTTATATAAAGAAGCATGTAGCAGTGATTTAAAAGTAAAGTTCACAAAGTTTGTAAAAACGTTGAATTTGCTTGAGCATTTTAACCATATGCATTTTATGCATTTAGAGGGACTCCACCAGGGTTCGGTTTGTTTTCTCCTCTAATACTTCTTGTATCTTCTATGTTTCACCATAGCCTCGTAAAACAAGTCTGGGAGAACAGGCCTTTTCTGGTCTGCCACCTGCTGGTAAATCCTAGCAACACCCAAATTCAGTGGCTGCTCATCCCTTTTCTCCAAACCTGAACTCCTGTTAACCTGAAGTTTTTTTCATTTCTATTCTGCAATCCCTTTTCCATTTAGCTCTATAAATATTTTTTACATATAATTTTATGTGGGTAGTTTTAATGTATCACATTCTAATACTCTGGTTTCTCTTCATATCTCATAAATCTTTCCCCTATATCACATTCTAGCTACCTTCAAGTTTTTGCAGTGCTTACCTATTTGTATCTCTTTCTAGCAACTTATACCCTGATTAAGCTTAATTACTAATGTGTTCATGTGGTCAGGGTGTGCTTTTAGGAACAGCTGAGGGCCAGAAGTCCTAATGAAAGTGTGGTCCACTCTTGAGGAGGGCAGGTACAATGAGCCACCATAGGCAATCCCTTGGTTAAACTGGCCAGAGTTCTGGACTGCTGCATGCAGGGACTTGAGGACAGGTCTAGAAGCAGGAGGAGTCATTAAGGGACTGCTGCAGTTATGGTCTGGGACAAGAATATGAGAGCTTCAGCAGCCAAAGAAGGGAAAGTAACTGTAATTAGAAAAGTGAAGGAATAACAGTAATTATCATCATTGTGCACAGCACTTCAATATATTATTACAGAAGTATATTATTACACATTATCAGCACTTTCTTTGCTACAATTAATGCTGTCATTATAACCATGCTGCCTCTGGCTGTTGAGTCATTTCAGCAATGGCCTCCAGAAGCTAAGGTTTATGTCACATAAGTATGTGGGATCTGGAATTACCAGGAAACAAGTGTGACACAGTCATTGGCTAGTTTGTAAGGACAGAGCAAAGGGACACACAGGAACTTTTGTGCATACAAGGGACTGCAAATAAACTGTTGTGGGGCTAGGAATGTGGCTTAGTGGTAGAGTGCTTGTCTAGCATGCATGAAGCCCTGAGTTCAATTCCTCAGTACCACATAAACAGAAAAAGCCAGAAGAGGCACTGTGGTTAAGTGGTAGAGTCCTAGCCTTGAGCATAAAGGTCAGGGACAGTGCTCAGGCCTTGAGTTCAAGCCCCAGAACTGGCCAAAAAATAAAAAGAAAGAAAGAAGAGCTGGGAAGGTGGCTCAGTGGTAGAGCGCTATCCTTGCATGCCTGAGGCCCTGGGTTTGATTCCTCATAAGCAAAAGGAAAAAAGCCGGAAGTGGCACTGTGGCTCAAGTGGTTGAGCGCTAGCCTTGAGTTGAAGAGCTGAGGGACAGCACCCAGGCCCAGAGTTCAGGCCCCATGACAGGACCCCCCACCCCAAAAAAAAAAGAAACTGTTGACTGTGGTGGCCAGTGCCTGCCATCCTAACACTTGGGAAACAGAGGCAGGTGGAATGCAAGTTCAGGCCAGCCTGAGTTACATAGACTTGTCTTAAAAAGAGAAAAATAAAGACAGAAAGTGCTTTATGTTTGTTGTGAGGGTAGCTTTGGGCTGATTTTTGGCTCACTTGCATGTACGCATCATCTCCACACTCAAAGGTTCAGCTATCTCTGAAGCAACCAAATAATCACATCTCCAATCAGCCCAGAGAGGTCATGAGACAGGATTGAATTTCTACCTCAATCCTAATTATTTGGGAGTTAGGAATAGGAATCTGCTGACATGGGGGAATAATCAAGAGAAACTGGAAATTCTTGCTATTTTCCAAGGCCAGCACAGGCTGAGGATCAGGTGAGTGTGCAATAAGTATTGGCTGGATTATGATGAACAAAAAAGGATTAAATCATTAGGATTGATGCATTCCAATCTTAAAAGACTGACTTAGATGAATAACTATATTTTGCAATTCAGAGAAAATGATGGAACATTTATGCATGTTACATACTTCTGGAAGGATACCTGAGATTCACTTCCTAATAATTATTCCTACTGTAATTTATAGTTAGAAAAAGTGAGATGTGGAGGGATCATGACCCTGCTGGGGGATTCTATAACACAGTGGGAATCCAGATTCCCCGTCATTCACGTTTGTAGTGGGAGAGGTGTGTACAGAGGAGCAGGTGAGGTGGCAGGGGAGGGGGATGGAAACACTGGCTGCTGACTGCTTTCATCGAATCTGTTAATGACTGAAGAAAAGAAGCAGAGTAGAAATTGCCTTGCATTTTATTGGCTCCGTGTAGAAACCTACTTAGGTCGTAGCGCAGGGGTAAAAGCCTTGGAGGATGTCCGCTCTCTGTGTGAGTTGCAGAGCCAGGGTGCCCGTTATGTCTTCAGAATCCTTCAGCCCAGACCGCAGGAGAAACTGGGCACAAGCCAAGTGCTGACCTGCACAGGCTAGATGCAGGGCTGAGAGAGGCAAGAATGACATTAGCTTAGAACACAACCGCTGGAGTACACAGCCTAAGGTTGCAATTTGAATCCAGCCAGGGCAAAGTGAAGTGAGAAACTATCTCAAAAATAAGTCAGATGTGGGGATGCATGCTTATGGTTCCAGCTGTTCAGGAGGCAGAAATAGGTGGACCAGTCCCAGCCAAGTTACTTCAAGGTCTTATCTGAAAAACAAACTAAAAGCTAAAGAGTAGGGGTATGGCTCAAGTAGTACAACATCTACCTAGCAAGCACATGGCCCTGAGTTTAATTCCCAGTACTGTAAAAAGAAGGGAAGTAAGTGATTTTATGACTTAACAGTAGTAATTAAGCCGATAGTCATCACCATTGTCAAGGTAATAGCATTAGTTCTCCAACTTGGCAAATACAGAAAAAGTTATTTTAAGAAAAAGCTGTCAAGGGCTGGGAATGTGGCTTAGTGGTAGAGTGCTTGTCTAGCACGCATGAAGCCCTGGGTTCCAATTCCTTAGTACCACATAAACAGAAAAAGCTGTAAGTGGCACTGTTGCTAAGAGTGGTAGAGTGCTAGCCTTGAGCAAAAGAAGCTCAGGCACTGTGCTGAGGCCTTGAGTTCGAGCCCCAGGTCTGGCCAAGAAAGAAAGAAAAAGCTGTTGAGATACTTAAGAATAATATTAGCACCAATGTTTTCTTTTCTTTTTTGTTGATTGTGGGGCTTGAACTCTGGGCCTAGGCGCTGTCCCTCAGCTCTTCAGCTTAAGGCAAGCACTCTACCACTTGAGCCACAGCGCCACTTCCCGTTTTCTAGTGGCTTATTGGCGATAAAGAGTCCCGCGGACTTTCCTGCCCAGGCTGGTTTTGAACTGTGATCTTCAGCTCTCAGCCTCCTGAGTAGCTAGGATTACAGGCATAAGCCACCAGCGCCTGGCTTCTTTTCTTTTTTTGAGACAAGGTCTTGCTATGTAACCCAGGGTAGGCTTGAACTTGGGATTCTCCTGCCTTAGCCTTCTGAGTTCTGGAGATGGCACCCAGGTTTTGTGCATGGTAGGTAAGCACTCTCCACTAGGCTATACTCTCAGCCCCAAATATGAAACTTGGTGAGTTGTTCACACATTCAATACCTGATCGATTTCGTTCATCTTTAACATTGATGTCAGCACCCAAGGATAGGAGAGTCTCAAGTGTACTTGTGTGTCCTTCCTGAGTGTTGAAATAAATTCATTATTACTGTGATGATAACACAAACCTTTAAACAAACTCTAATCATATTAGGCACTTATTCTAAAATAGTCAACTAAAAAACCTAAATTGTATAGCTAAAGGGTAATGACTTGTATCACTCTTAATAAGGCATCCATCATTAAATATCTTGGTCACATTTCATTACTAGGATTTAGATGATCAACTTTATATGCCACATTAGTGACCTAATCTATCAATATAAGCTGTATAAATTTTGTGATTTATACAGAACTACAATTCCAAAATTTTCCAGACCAATATTTATCTAATTAAAATCTGTAGGGTAGATATAGATGACCAAAGACTACATAACCTCTTATAAAAGAGAATCCTAGGGGCTGGGAAGGTGGCTCAGTGGTAGAGCGCTTGCTTTGCATACTTGAGGCCCTGGGTTTGATTCCTCAGCACCACATAAGCAAAAAGAAAAAAGCCGGAAGTGGCGCTGTGGCTCAAGTGGTAGAGCGCTAGCCTTGAGCTGAAGAGCTGAGGGACAGCGCCCAGGCCCAGAGTTCAGGCCCCACAACCGGACCCCCCCCCCCAAAAAAAAGAGAGAATCCTACTGCAGCTAGTATTATGAAGCAATTATATATATATATATATATATATATTTTTTGGTGAAACCAAAATCAAAGCTTGATGTTCAGTCTTCCCTGAAGACTGGAGAAAACACAAGCCTGTCTCCCCTTGTGGCATCTCAGCCCATCCTTACGCACCTCCCTACCTTCTCATGAGGGGAAAATAGGACAGAAGAGTGTAGATGATTTAAAAATAATCACTGCTAGAAAATCAAGCATGGGACAACTAAGTAATGGATCAGTAATATGGGAGACTGCAGGCACTGACAACAGCTTCCTTTCTAGTTGAACATTTTGTCTTCAATGTGACAGGGAGAGACCAATGAATGCCATTCCCTTCTCCCATTTAAAGAGATCTTAACTTCTAAATGCTGCATAAGTATAGAGATCTAGGAGTTTCATACAACAGACATGTATGGCTTTAAATGATTCCTGAAAACAAAAATGTTAGTAGTGTGACATAAAGCCCAAGAATATAAAGGGTACTTCTTTATTTCTTAATTTCTTTCTTTTTAGTTTCCTTTTAAAGGGATTAACGACTTCAGATTCATGATTATTTCAAGTATATGGACAATTACCATTCACCGAAATGAAGCCATAAAAACCAGGATTATAGCTGAGGGCCAGTGGCTCATGCCTGTAATCCTACTTACTCAGGAGGCTGAGATCTGAGGACCACAGTTCAAAGCCAGCCGGGCCAGGAAAGTCTATGAGACTCTTATCTCCAATTAACCACCAGAAAACCAGAAGTAAGCTGTGGCTCAACGTGGTAGAGCACTAGCCTTGAGCAAAAGAGCTCAGAGACAGCCTTCAGGCCCTGAGTTCAAGCCCCACAACTGACAAAACAAAACAGGATTACAGAGCCATCCATCAATGGAATAACGCAAGTCAAAGTAAGGTAGGGACATTGTCATGAGAAAATACCAACCTTGGCCGCATAATGAAGTGCTGTGTGGTGGGTTGTGGTTGCTCTCACATCTACATCAATGCCAAGATCAGACACCAGGAAGCGGATGGCTTCATCCTGCCCTGTGACAGCTGCCCTGTGCAGAGCCTGGGCCCCCAGGCTGTCCTCAGCTGAAGAGCAAGCCTTGTAGATGGGAGGGGCAAAAATCAGAAGAAGCAGAAAAACCTGGGCCCATACACCTGGCTGGCTGTACCTTCCTCTGGGCAGAGGATGTGGAGCTTCTGTCTATTTCTCTAAGGACTCTAACAAAAAAAAAAAAATGGATGAATCCAGTGACATTGATTATGATGTATTATGCTCAAACTGCTTTGATGAATAGTATACTCCTTGTAAAACTACTTAAAGATTTGAAAGAAAGAAATGAAAGGAAAAAGAACCGGATGAGTCAGTACTCCTGGCTACAGTGCCAAAAGTGCTTCCAGGGGCCTCCGATGCCATCAAAGGACTAGTATGTCTTAGAACATGGATCTTTGGGACCTCTCTCCACAGAGTCAGTGAAATTGACTGCTTTTCCTTGCTTTTCTTTCCCTTTTAAATAAGCTTGCTCTGATTATTTATTTATTTATTTATTTATTTATTTATTTATTGGTCATGGGGCTTGAGCTCTGGGCTTGGGCACTGTCCCTGCACTCTTCAGCTCAAGGCAAGCGCTCTACCACTTGAGCCACAGCGCTACTTCGGGTTTTCTAGTGGTTTATTGGAGATATGAGTCTCAAGGACTTTCATGCCTGGGCTGGCTTTGAACTGTGATCCTCATATCTCAGCCTCCTGAGTAGCTAGGATTACAGGCATGCACCACCTAGCTCTTTTAAATACCTAAAAATAATAATAATAAGGAGCTATTTCTAGAATACTTAATTTGCTAACTGCTCTAAGTAGATTACATTATTTAATACTTCTAGGAGCCATCTGAAGAAACTCAACTTCTCTTTATTTTATAGCTGGAAATACAGATACTTAGGACCCAGGAAATAAAGTGTGCTGTTTATCCTATAATCTAAAAATTGTAAGAAGAATCAAGGAATAAATTTTGATACCTGATGTTTTTTAAGGAGTAGCCTGGCTACTTCCACATGACCACATTGAATTGCATCCATAAATGGGGTGACGCCACAATTGTCTCTGCAGTCTGGTTCATACTGGCACCTAAAGCCCAAACCCAGAATTACAGAACTGAGAGTATTACCTTCAAACTGTCTTCTCTAACCATATGTTGTCTCCTCAGGTTATCTTTTCAAATTATCATCTCTGTTGCTGACCCCCACATTTATATCTGGGCCCACCTGTGTCTTGAACTGCCTGCCTGAGCCCCATATTTCACAGGCACACAACACTCAACATTACCTAAAGTAAAATTATCATCTTTCTCCTCCACCTGCTGCTCTTCCAGTGTTCCATTTCTCAGCAAGTGGCTCTGACACCATATCCTAAAGTCATCTTTGATGTTCCCTACTCCTCATTCCTTTCATCTGTTTAATTTGTTGCTATGCTAGAGATGCTAGGGCCCTGCATATGCTGCCAAGTGTTCTACCACTGAGCTGGATCTCTAGCCCTTCTCATCTCCTTTAACAAGTTACTCATCTTGCCCCATTGGCTCCACTTTCAAAATTACCTCCAAATCCCCCTCTTCATCCCTAGACATCTTTGTGTCCAGCTACTATCAATTTTTTTTTTTTTTTTTTGCCAGTCCTGGGGCTTGAACTCAGGGCCTGGGCACTCTCCCTGAGCTTCTTTTGCTCAAGGCTAGCACTTTACCACTTGAGCCACTGCACCACTTCTAGCTTTTTCTGTGTATGTGGTACTGAGGAATCAAACCCAGGGCTTTGTGCATGCTAGTTGAGCACTCTATCACTAAGCCATGTTCCCAGCCCCCTACCATCATTTTTGTCTTTCTCACTGCACCAAATAGATCATGGAACCTCCTGCTCACCCCATCCCCCAATCCATTCTGCCTAAGGATTGACAATTTTGGGAAACTGTTGTCTGAAAATCCTTCAATAGCATCTTAAATGCTTAGAATAAAATCTGAACTTTCTCACATGGTCTACAGTGTCCACATTGTCCAGGCTTCAGCATATTCTGAACTTCCTGTTTCTCAGATATACCATACTTTCCCATGTCTCCTATTGGCAATTAACTCTCATTCTCCCCTTCAAGTGGCACCTTCAATATTGCTGGTGCTGAGATTCTGACTCCAAGGTATACTCAGTTATATGCTCCCTTTGGGATACTGCAATTCCTTGCAATGTTGGTAAGTCTTACAGAGCTTGTTCAGTCTGTACTGCTGCCAGTCTGTGATCCTCTTCAAGTAAAAACAGTATTAACCTCTTGTTAAAATGTCTAATAAATATTTCTCCCCAATTTATTGCTTTGCTCTTACCTCTTAAGAAGTACCTTTACTGCTTCTAAACAGCCATGCATTGCTGGGAGAAGAGAGTTGAAAATTAGAACGTTTAGGTATACTGTATACTCAAAATGTTTCTTGGCTGGGGATGTAGCTCAATGGGAGAATGTTTGCCTGACATGCATAAAGCCCTGAGTTTGATCCTGGCACCACAAAAATAAATAAAGTTCTTTCCTCCTGGTTCTCTCCCTTCTGCCTCAGTCTTCTAGTTATGACTTACAGGAATACTTAAATTTGGTATACTTTTACTGCCCCTAAAAATAAAATTCAACTCAATTAGTGGTAATGATGTTTTTACTTTAGGAATACACGGCCAATACTTGATTATTTCTCTCTCTCTTTTTTTTTTTTTGGCAGGTCTGGGCTTCAGCTCTGGCCTGGACACTGTCTCTGAGCTCTTTTGTTGAAGGCTAGCGCTGTACCACTTGAGCCACAGCTCCACTTCCATTTTATCTCTATGAGCACTTTCATGGCAAACTTTTAGTCTGAAACTTATCTTCCCAGTTTTGTGTTGTAAAACTCCAAGGTCAGTCAGCTTTCATCCAGAAAATACAAAAACATTTTACTGTCTGTATTAATCCTTAACAAAGTAACCAGAAATTGAGTCCCTCTCCTAAAAATAATATTCAATAATAAAGGTTTTGATGTCTTCTACTTATTTGGGGCAAATGATAGGGTGCTATGTCTCCAGGGAAGTATCTCCAGATCTGTGTGAAGGGCAAGGTGACCAAATAATTAATAAGCTAGAGAAATGTCTTTCCATTTACTTGGAATGTTTAGGAAGATATTCTTCCATCCCTAAGTGCCACTGTGTTTAGAAAACAACTGGATGTGTTTTACCTAGACTATATCACATCGCAGGCATTAAGTTCTAGAGAAACTAAATTCAACACACTTCCTAGTAGGATAAGGTTACTTTCCAAATTTCAAATTTCTTGTTCTAGACTCTTACTGTAACAACTTTACATTTTTCTTAATTTAAAATCATCTACAGATGCATAACAGTTAAAAGTAATTAAAAAATAAAAACCGTATGCTAAATTGTATTTAGACACTGGGGCCAATGTATCTATAAGCATTTGTATTTATTTAGACATAAAACATGGTATTACTAAGAATATGAAGGAAATATTTTCTTTTTTTCTTCTTGTCTTCAGTAACAATGTATGCTTGTTGTTTTTTTTTTGGGTCCGGTCATGGGGCCTGAACTCTGGGTCTGGGCGCTGTCCCTCAGCTCTTCAGCTCAAGGCTAGTGCTCTACCACTTGAGCCACAGTGCTACTTCCGGCTTTTTTCTTTTTGCTTATGTGGTGCTGAGGAATCGAACCCAGGGCCTCAGGCATGCAAGGCAAGCACTCTACCACTGAGCCACCTTCCCAGCCCCTTCAGTAACAATGTATAAACTGTTAAGACAATAGTAACTATTTATTCTGGGCCTACATGTGCCAAGGATTGTGTGAAGGAACTCACATAATGACCTCTTTATCCCTACAGTAATTATGTATCATGGGTATCATTGCTGATGAAGACATTTGCTCAAGAGACAGACTAGGGGGGCTGGGAAGGTAGCTCAGCGGTAGAGTGCACGCCTTGCAAGCATGAGGCCCTGAGTTCCATTCCTCAGCACCACATAAACAGAAAAAGCCGGAAGTAGCGCTGTGGTTCCAGTGGTAGAGTGCTAGCCTTGAGCTGAAGAGCTGAGGGACAGCGCCCAGACCCAGAGTTCAGGCCCCATGACCAGCAAAAAAAAAAAAAAAGAGACAGACTAGGTTTTCTACTGAAGGTCAAAGACTTTGAGAGGAACAGAACCAGTTTTCCATCTAACTAATAGAAGGTAAGAAGGATACACATGAAGAGTTTACTAACATAAGAAAGGCAGCTAGCCAGGCACCGGTGGCTCGGGCCTCTAATCCTAGCTACTCAGGAGGCTAAGATATGAGGATTGGTTCAAAGCCAGCCCGGGCAGGGAAGTCCGTGAGACTCTTATCTCGAATAAACCATTAGAAAACCGGAAGTGGTTCTATGGTTCAAGCGGTAGAGCACTCACCTTGAGCTGAAGAGTGCAGGGACAGTGCCCAAGCCCAGAATTCAAGCCCCACGACCAACAAAAAAAAGAAAGAAAAAGAAAGGCACCTAGCCAGTTACATGATCTATAGAAAACATTCTTTTTCCTTACATCTATTTTCTCATAACCTTCATTTCCCTGCAGGCAGCTTGAACAGGATGATGTAGGCAGTGCTGAGTGAAGTGACTGCACATCTGTACCTGTTTGCCTAAGGCTACTGGCTGTACCTGCAGTGTGCAGAGGAGTTCTTCTGATTTTGCTCTCTGTCTTCCAGGCATCTGGGCTCACAGTGAGCAAGTACTGGAGGATAAGGGGGTCGCCTTCTCGACTGGCAATGTGGAAACTGTTCCAGCCGTCTTTGTTCTTCAGGAGTGGATTGGCACCGTGTTCCACGAGGGCCTGGATCACCTCAAGATTCTTCCTTGTGCAAGCCATCATCAGAGGAGTCCTAAGGCCAACCAGTGTAAGCCATCAGATGGAAGGAAGCTGAGACATTAAAAGGGAGAGGTCAAGTCTTCAGGAAATGCATATAGCCTTGGCACAGATGGACAACCTAGAAGGATCAGTGGTCTTGAAGGAAGGAAAAGAGCTTTGACTGGTAAATCCTCTGCATGATGTAAGAACACTGGGAGAAATAACAAGGGGAATATGATTGTCACCTACAAGTAGATGGGGACCTGGGAAGCAAAACTGCTTGAGAGCTAGACCTGAGTAGTGACCTGGGACAGAACTAATAAGAACCACCTAGGACCAGGTCTACTTTTCTCCCATAGTGGAGAAGATGAACTTTATACCATTCTCTTCTGTACTTTTTTCTTCTTTTGTGAGGTTGAGAATCAAACCTAGAACTTCATACATACTAGGCAAAGGCTATAATAGTAAGTTACATTCCTAGCCCCTGTTTTCTTTTTTTAATTGTAATGAGATCAGGAATCACTTGAAGTAGAAGCTTCACTATGTAATAAGCCTTAAGAAGTTCATAGCAGGCCAGTGAATGTGGCTTAGTGACAGCATGCTTGTCTAGCCTGACTGAGGCCCTGGGTTTGATTCTTGGTACTACATAAAAAATAAGTAAAATGAAAAGAAACAAAAAAGTAACCATTAAAAAGAAATCATAGCTTCAGAAAGACCAGACACAATGAAAAAAAGAATTTCAGCCAGGTAGAGGTAGCTCAATCCTAGCTACTCAGGAGTCTGAGATCTGAGGATCCAGTATGCAGACAAATTCTTGAAACTCTTTTCTTTTTTGCCAGTCCTGAGGCTAACACTCAGGGCCTAGGCACTGTCCCTGAGCCTCTCTGTACTCAAGGCTAGCACTCTACCACTTGAGCCACAGCACCACTTCTGGCTTTTTCTGTTTATGTGGTACTGAGGAATCGAACCCAGGACTTCATACATGTTAGACAAGCACTCTACACTAAGCCACATTCCCAGCCCATCTTGAAACTCTTATCTCCAGTTAACCAGCAGAAAGACAGAACTAGAGATGTAGCTGAAGAGGTATAGCACTGGCCTTGGGCAAAAAAGCTAGGGGAAAGCACCTAGGCCTGTTCAAACCCCAGTACCAGCACCTAAATAAATAAATCTAATCTAACAAATGAGATTGAATTTGTGTGAGGTAGAGTTTCTGGACTGTGTTGATAGTAGTTGTTACAGCAAGGCAAGAGGTGAAAACGACATAGTGTTATATCTGCACCTGCACTGTATCAGTCATATTCCTATGGTCTGTACAATACCAGTTAAAATAATGCAATCTGTGAGCTAAGAATTTAGCTAGACGTCCCCAGAAGAACATCACTACCGGTACAATCCATTCCCTATCTGACCACATTAAGCAAGAAGGTTGGGGGCGATAAGACCTTGCCGTTGGGTGAAAACTGGATGCTGAGAAGAGCTCCCCTCGTGTACCCACGGGGTACACAAGCCACGATTCTGATTCTGCAGGACTAGGGAGGAGGCGTGTTTTTCTGGACCGTCGCCACCTACCAGTCGCCCTTCTTCAGGCAGTCTACCGCCGCCCCTCGGTCCAACAGGTAGCCCACGCAGTTCCGGTGGCCCATAGAGGCAGCCTCGTGAAGAGGCCGCTTGTAGTCTCGGTTGGCGGCCTCGATGTCCATGCCACAAGTCTCGGCTAGGTAGGCCAGGATGTCCAGGCGTCCGTGACGGGAGGCACAGTGGAGGAGCGTGTCCCCAGCCGGGCCCTGACAGCCGCCGGCCGCCCGCAGCTCCTCCTGCAGAGCGCGCAGCCGGCCTTCCTGCACCAGCCTGCAGAGGCGGCGCGGGTCCCCCGGCGGGGCCATCCCGGTGGGCCAGGCGGGGGCACGAGTGGGAGGGACACCGAGCCTGAGTCCGAGGCAGGGTGCACAAAGCTCAAAGGGAGCCTGGGCTTCCGCTTCCTGCACGTGACACTCCTCCGAGCCACCCCGCCCTCCGCCCAGCTCTTTTTCCCGGCGCGGTCGCCGCCGCTGCCGCCAGAGCCCCTTCTCGCCCCGGGGGCCGGGGAGCTGCGCCCTCCCGGCGCGTCGGGGCGGGGCCCCCGGCTCCAGGCGCCCCTGCTGCTAGGGGTACGTGGGCGCACCTGTGGTCCCGGAGCTGCCCTCTGCACAGGGAGCCGAAAACGTCAGGGGATGGGGGCGCATCTCTCTACCGCGAAGCCCCGAAGCTTGAGGGGCCCGTGGGGCCGGACCGCCCCCCCCCTCACGGCTCCGGAGGCCGTCGGTCCGGGGCCTGGCCTGAGCTAAGAGCCGAACGCAAGCGGCTCTCGCTGCCGCTGCCGAGCGCGCGTCCGCGGACTGCGAGCCGGGGCCGCCGCGGATCCCGGAGCCCGGGCTGGACACCGCCCGGGTCTTGGGGGTCTGAGGCGGTGCTAGGGGACGGGGCGGTGCTCCTGGGCTCCGCCTCCTCATCCAATCGACAGTCGCCCGGCGTCCTCCCCGCCCCTGCCGCTGCAGCCCCCAGGAACTCTGGGAAAGTTTCCCGGTGCCGTCTCCGGGCCAGCGGAAACACGGAAGGGGCGTGGTCCGCTCGCGGTGGCCGCGCCCCTTCCAGACTCGCATTTCGATTGGCTCAGGCGGCCGTCCTTCAGATCCGGTGGCAGGCGCTTCCCTGGGCAGCGACGGGGCGGAGCTCGTGGAGGAAGTCGTCCGCGGTCTCGGCTCGCTGACGGGGCGGGAGGAGGGGCTTGCTGCAGGGGGCCGCTGGGCTGGGAGGCCAGCAGCGGGGACCGGGCGGCGACGGCGGCGGCGGGGGCCCGGGTCCGGAGCGCCATAGTGCGTGAGATCCTAGACGTGACCGGGGATGCAGGCGGGGCTCCGATGCGTGGGAAACTTCAGCCTTTCGGGTCTCGGGGGTGGGGCCGTACTCTCCGGCGGGGCGGGGCGGGGCCCGGCCGGGGGTGGGTGTGGGGGCTCGGCGGGCTCGGCGGGCTCGGCGGGCTGCGGGCGGGTGCAGGTCGCGGAGCGCTTGCACGGTGAGGCCCGCGTGTCAGGTGAACCCCAGCCAGGCCCGAGCCCCCGCGCTGCCCCCTGAGGCCCTGCCGTCATTTCTCGGGGGCTTGCGGAGGTGGCTGGGGAGACGTGGCCTTGGTTACTGGCGAGCTAGGCTTCTCCACTCTTGTTTTGACCTTGGGTAAGTCGTTTTATTCTGCCCAGACCACCCTCTACCATCGATCCCCCCCCCCTTCCTTTTCTTTACCTGAATGTAAGAAGATAAAGGTGAGGTGAGAAGGCCTTAAGCTTTTCGAGGATTCACTGAGATCTGAGGACTGACTGGAGGTGATGGAAGAAATTAGGGTTAGGTGTGGTCTTCCTTGATGGAACTAGTCATTTAGCCTCGGTGTTTTTCTCTTATTTCAGGGGAAAAAAATGGAAATCACCACTAAAGGCCAGGCTTCAAAACAACCGCTTTTTTTTTTTTTTTTTTTTTTGGCTGTGTCTTAACCTGAGCTTATTTTGGTCTACCACTTGAGCCACACAGCTCCACTTTGGCTTTTTTGATGGTTAACTGGAGATGAAGATTCTCATGGACTTTCCTGCCTAGGCTGGCTTTGAACCTCTATCTCAGGTCTCATCCTGCTGAGTAGTTAGGATTGCCGGCATGAGCCACCAGGGCAAGGCACAACAACTGATCGTTAATTTGGTTCTGCGCTCTGGTTTAACAAAGCACTTGGCATTAAGTAAATCCACATACCATCCCATAAAGCCGTCCTTTTGGTCTGACAAGCAGTGGACTTAAGGCATAATGAAGTTAGTGACTTTACCATGACAATGTAGTTAGCGAAGTGTAAAGGAGGAAGGAAGGATGGGTGCAATCAGAATGCATTAGTGCCTGACGCAAGCAACATAAAACGGGAGATAAAATGAAAAAAGACACTTGAATTTCGTATGTTCTACCATTTCTTTTTTTCTTTTTGCTTGTAGTGTTCCTCTATTTCTTTCCTAGGCTTTTATTTGGAAATTGAATTTGAATTCTGTCTTTGCTGTTTCTGGCTATGAAATTGCTTAACTCCTAGAAATTTATCAACTCACATCTTAGATACTCTTTGGCCATTCACATGCCTTTTGATGACTACTCTCATATTTCACACTGTTTCCTAGGCTGTAACCTGATTTTCCACAGATACTGTGAAAAGATAAAGACCAGATGTGATGGTGGATGCTTGTAATCCCAGGAGACAGAAGACTGAGGCAGGAGGATCTTGAATTCAAGGCCAGCTTGACCTACCTATTGAGACCCTGCCTCGAAAAATCAGAACCCCAAATTACTTTTAAAATTGGAATTTTGAGCCTCCTTCCTCACTCTAGAAAAAACATGATTGAAGAAAAGAAGATCTTTTAATCTTTAATATGATTAGTAACATTACTTGTCCTTGCTGTTCTTTCTCTTTTGTCTTTTCTTGTCAACAGCTCAAAACACATTTTTGGTCTTCAAAATGTTTTGCTGCCCTCAGGCAATTACTAGCTCTGAGTGTTGCTGCCCTCAGGCAATCACTAGCTCTGACATAAGTTGGTAAAGTCACTTCCAACTTGTTTTTCTTACAGTTTTCACGTCTATCTAAATTTGATTGTTATAATGACCCTACTTAAAAACTGCATGGTACCCTGAATTGCCTACAGAATAAAGGCCAGTTTCTTCATCTTCTTTTTTGTAATGGCACATATTGAACCGTATAGGAAGAGTTTTTGTCATACTATTTCAGTATATGATCATATTGATCACATGATTACATTGATCATATATTCTGATCATATTTGCCCTCTCTGGTACTCTTTCTTATCCTTCTTCTTCCTTCCTGTTTCCCTTCTCTTTATTGTGTGCCCCCCATTCCTTGCTTTTATTTTCATGACTTTGATTTTCTTTTTCACAATGAGAGAAAGTATTTGATACTTGTCTTTGAGGGACTGGCTTATTTCACTTGACATAATGATTCCGAGTTCTGTTCATTTTGCAGCAAAAGATATTTTAGTCTTTCTAATGGCTAAATAAAATTCCATTGTGTGTGTTTATAAGTATGTATATATTTGTATGTACACGTGTATGTGTGTAAAATCACATTTTCCTTATTTGTTCATCTGTTGATGGGCACCTAGGTTGATTCCATAACTTGGCTATTGTGAACAGTCCTAGGATAAATGTGTACTGGTACTACAGCTTGAATTAAGAACCTTACTGTATCCCTTGGCTTTAGTCACAGCTCCACTTCTGGCTGTTTGCTGATTCATTGGAGGAAAAGGTGCCACAGACTTTTCTGCCTCAGACTGACTTTGAACCATGATGCTCAGATCTAAGTCTCCAGAGTAGCTAGGATTACTAGCATGAACCACCAGCACCTGGCTGACTTTGATTCCTTTGAGATTCTATCTACCCAGAAATAGTATGGCTGGGTTATAGAAGAGTTCTGTTTTTAATTTTCTGAGGAACATCCATAACTGATTTTCATATTGGCTGGAATAATTTACATTCCTACAGTGAGTAAGATCTCCACCCCCATATTTGTTTTGTTTATGATAGCCATTTTTTTTTTTTTTTTGCCAGGCCTGGGGCTTGAACTCAGGGCCTGAGCACTGTCCCACTTGAGCCACAGCTGCACTTTGGTTAGGGGGTGATTCATTGAATTGTCTCGCAGACTTTCCTGCTCAAGGTGGCTTTGAACCACAGGCCTCAGATCTCAGCTTCCTGAGTAGCTACGATTATAGGTGTGAGCCACCAGTGCCTGGCTTAGTTTTGGTTTACATTTTGCTGGTGAAGGTAATTTTTTTAGCAATGTATTAAATGACCTTTGTTGTTTCTGACTTCAAATTCATTTTCCAGCCTTGTTTATCATCATTCCTCATCAGTGACCTTGTTCTAAAGAAATGCACCTTTTCTGCCACACAAGTGGTTGGCCATGCCTCTGGGGGTTTGCTTATGTTTCTTTGACTAACTGAATCCCATTCGTTTCTCTGTGTGTGTGTGTGTGTGTGTGTGTGTGTGTGTGTGTGTGTGTGTGTGCCTGTCTGTCTGTCTGTCTGTCTGTCTGTCTGTCTGTCTCGTGGGGTCTGAACTCAGGGACTGAGTGCTGTCCCTGAGCACCATTATATTCTCAGATTTCAGCCTTCTGAATAGCTAGTATTACAGTTGTAAGCCACCAGTGCCCAACACCCATTTGTTTTTTTAAGGCTCAATACTTCTTAAAGCCTCTTCCAACATTGCTAGTTCTATTTACTTTTCTTTACCACCATAGCGCTTTATGTATTTATATAGCACTTATATTGCTCTTGTGTTTAGCAATTTGTGTTTGTTTTGATACCTGCCTTATGGTCAAGCATATTCATTTTTATATTCTCAGTATCTAAAATAGCATTGAACAAGGGTACCATAAGGAAATCCCTCGGGGAGTTTATAATGAATCTGGGACATAGTACATACATAACGGTGGTTGTGGAGAAAGCCTTTCAAATATATAAGAATATATTCTGCACAGTAAATAGTAGTCTTTTTCTTTCTTTTGTCATTCCTCTCCTTGTGAGAAACATAACCGTGAACAATCCAACCTATCCATGCTTGTAGAAAATGAGTGCTGTTTCCAAGAGAATCATGGTAGTTTAGCATATAAGATGATTGGAGAGATAGAACCTCCTAACCTGTACCCTGTGGATTTAGAGGATAGCTGGTAGCCATCTGGCTATGCATCAAGGGTTAATACCAACTGGCACAGTGGCTCCCTCCTGTAATCCTAGCTACTCAGGAGACTAAGAACTGAGGATCAAGGTTCAAAGCCATCCCATGCGTAGGAAAGTCTTTCAGTCTGTTTTCTCTAATTAGATAGTAGAAAGCCCAAAGTGGAGTTGTGACTCAAGGAGTACTGTCAACTTTAAGTGAAAAATCTAAGCAAGAGCATGAGCTCCTGAGTTCAAGCCTCAGTACCAACATACAAAAAAGAGTTAATACCAGAGTGTTGAACTAGTTGCAGTGTGTTCCTTGTTTATTTTAAAGAAAGCAAAATACTTTTAGTTTCCCATTTTGAGTCTGCAGAAAATATTAGAAGTTTTCTTATAGTAATGTTTTTTGAATATTATTAAAATTTTGATACAGGAATTAAACTTGAGGGTTTTTTCCTTTCTCTCTCTCTCTCTCTCTCTCTCTCTCTCTCTCTTTCTCTCTCTCTGCAGCACTGGAGTTTGAACTCAGGGACTTGTGCTTTCTACACAGGCCCTCTTTCATTTGAGTCATAACCCCAGCCCCCCTCCCCTTTTTTTGCTTTAGTTATTTTTTACATAGGGTCTGATAGTTTTTCCCTCTTCCCTACACCTGAATTACATCCCATCAGGGTTACAGGCATGATGTGTTAACACCATATTTGGCTTACTGACTGAGATAGGGTCTCACTGTTAACTCTTTGTTGGGAATGGACTTTAACTGCAGTTCTCCTGATCTCTGCCTTCTGAGTAGCTGGGATTATAGGTGTAAGCCACTTTTAAGGAGAATTTTTTTTTTTTTAACAGAGCTTCACTGGTAGCCTAGAAGTTGTTATATGGACTCAACAATCATCCTGCCTTAGCTTCCCAAGTGCTGGCATTACCAGCTTGTGCCATGCCTGGCTAACTTGAAGGGATTTTTTGTTTGTTTCTTCCTCCTCTTCTGCCTCTCCTTTCCTTCACTACTACTCCTCTTCCTCTTCTTCCTTCATTTTTTTGTCAATACTGGAGATTGAACCCAATGTCCCTTCTCCTCTTATTTTTTCACCTCCTCCTTCCCCTCCTCCCTTTCTCCTTTTCCTCCTTGAACCCGC